ATTCTATATGAATATGAAATGAATTCTTGAAAAAGTTGATTTTGACTGACCTGTAGATTGAATTTTAAATTCAAAGTAGCTCTTGTTCTGATGCAAAGGAGCATTAGCTAAGCAACCCCCTGTACCGCATACTCGTCGTCCATTTTTTACAACGACAACATCTGTTCCTGCAGAATATAAAGCATCAACAAGCAGAAAACACTTTGAACTAGGTTGAAGACTTACAATTTTTATGCAGACGATCAACATTGATTTCCTTGAATTTCATTGTCAAGGAAATGTAACAAATGTTCATTTATTTTTCACCCCATACCTTGTCCCACCTGCCAATTTTTCACAAATCCTATAGCACCCTACAGAATGTGTGGTGAAGTAACATTGGGAGACTCCAAGCGCATGCAGAGTTGGGGGCTTTAACCACTTTTCAAGTTGTCCATGGGAACATAGATAAATATGTTGTTTCAAAAGCAGGCATTCCATTGTCGATGCATATATCCCACATGACAAGAGGGTGGGAGTGGAACAGAAAAGAGTATGCAGGCACATCAGCAGGTTCCCCTCCTATGTCCCACTGATCAGTCAGCTGCTTGTGTTTTTGACACAGAAACTCTTATTTTCTCCCAAGAGTGTATAATAGAAGCAATAAGAAAGCAACCACGTGAAACCCATTCTTCTCAGGACCAGTGAAATTCATTACATATTAACTGGACCAGAGGTCTCCAACCTTGGCAACTTTAAGACTTGTGGACTTCAACTCCCAGAATTCTCCAGCCAGCATAGCTGGTCAATGTCTGGAATACTCTACCTGACTGTGGTTTTTTTCCCCAAACCCCAAAAACTTTAACCTTAGACTGTCTACTATTGACCTCACCCCTTTCCTAGGAGGTCTGTAGGGGGCCTGTCCTATTGTTTCTTTTATATATTTTTTATTTTTCTTATATGTATCCATGTATTCATAACTATGTTTTTACTTATACCTGTTATCTTGTAAGCAATTGACAAATAAAAATAAAATAAAAATAAAACTTTAAGACAGCTGGCTGGAGAATTCTGGGAGTTGAAATCCACAAGTCTTAAAGTTGCCAAGGTTGGAGACCTCTGAACTGGACTATAGTTTAATTTTTTTTTCTAGAAAATGCAATTAAATATGACGGAGCATATGTTTCCAATATGCATTTAGAATCAAAGGGTAAAATGTCAAAACTTTTTCAAACAGATATTTGAAAAAATATATTTTGCACACAAGAACAATTTAACCAAGAATCAATGCAATTAACTTAAAAGGATGCTAGCACATTCTATAATAAAATTTTCCAAGTATCCTAATCCTGCTGAAAAGAACTTTAAAACATTTAAGTTTCAATACATTTTTGCTTTAGATGGGCAGATACTGCTTGTAAATGGACTTTAAAGGCGACCATCAGCACCTTGAATCATACCTAGAACCCAACAATAATTTTTGCATTTCTCAAAATAGTGGTGTTATCCAGATAAAACAAGGTGTACCCATAATTATTGAAGTCATTATATTCTGGACTAGCTGCATCTTCTGAGTAGTCTTCAAGGCCAGCCCCATGTAAAATAATACATGATAATAGTCTATGGGGTAACCAAGGCATGTACTTGTGCAAAAGCCTGCTTGGCCACAGATGGAGCTGTGAGTTCAAGAAGACCATCAAAATTACAAAAAGCTTATAACAAAGGTGCTCAATCCTATCCAAAATCTAATATGAAATAAGCTGGTATCAATTGGTCTCCAAATCCATTCAATCTTGCTGGAATTAAGTCTCAGTCTATTTTTCCCCATCCAGACTTTCACAGGTTCTGGGTACAGGAATAGCAGCTCAGCTCCATCTTCTGTTTGGCCCAGTTTGAGATACTGTACACAACTGTGTATCACCTGCACACTGATGACTCCTGATCTCCACTGTTGAGCTGGAGTGATTTCATGGAGCAGTTAATAAGGAAGGAAGGAAGAGCCCATTTAAGACAGAAAATCCACCCATTTGTTCCCATTTTACCACCAGTTTTCCTTGCTGTAAAGTCTCCCAACCACATGTACTTCAACCTCATAATTTCTGTTCATATTTTCTGCCAGTTTTACAGTTTTAAGGAACAAATATCAGAACTAGTCAATTTTCTAAGTATTGCTCTTTCACAGGTTTCTCTAAGGGTAGATTAAAAGATTGACAATTTCATTCTGAACCTGTTTTTTAAATAACACCTGAAACCACATATTTAAATGGGGAAGAGGAAGGAGACTCAGTGCTGCCTCCACATTAATCATATATATTTAATTAATTAGTATTTTGTTTATTCACATTTCTAAGGATAACTTGTAAACAACTTTAGTTGTAGCAGAGTGCATCGATATAATTACTTAAGAATAGGAAAAATGTAACAGATTTGTAATTTCCTTGCTATAGGTAAGAATGCACTTTGAACTCAGTGGTGAAAAAAATATGCATTTATTAAATTCATATTTAAGTAAATTATTTATTAAAACAGTAAATTAAACAGATATTACCACCTTTTACTCTTTTTTTCCTAGCGCAAATCAAACCTTCTTTGACGGGGGGACAGAAGCATAGAGAAATTACACCTTTCAAATTTAATTGTTACAAACACAGAAACAGAAATTTAAACATACTGTTGCGTTAATAGCACAAGATTTAGCATAAGATTTCAACGTAGATTTAGAAACGAACGGGGCGCTTTCCGATTTCTTTAAAAAGCCGTTTCCAGGGGAAATCCCCTGAGCGTCAACCCTGCGAGAGCGGTTGCCCTTACCCATCTGTTGCGTGTCCAGCAGCACCGACGGCATCTCCTTGAGAGGGATGTGCCCGGCGCTGCCTTCTCCGCACCAAGCCCAGCGCAGGCAACACCACACGGAGCCCGAGGCCGCCCCTGCCGACGCCGCCATGGTTGCTCTGCCGCTCTAGCTTCAAGAGGCGGCGGCTTCAGCTTTTCTCCACACACTTTCGGTTCCCGGTCGGCTGATCAGTGAAGGCTTCCATGTGCGGGGCAGGCGCCCCAGCAACAAATCCACGCAAACTCAGCAGCCTGAGTTTCTCCTCTGCTGGGAAGGCCCGTTCTTCATAGAACGGACCACGCAACTCGCAGGCAGAGAAGAGACAGACCCGCCTTCTGAAATGAAGAAGCAGAATGTCAACAGGTTGTCTTGTTTTGTAACCAGCGCCTTTTAAAATCGCAATTTAGCATTACGCAATGTTATTTCTTACAAGGAGCTCATTCCGTGGATACATTTTTGTGCAGAGTTGTTGGCTACCTCCCAAAATGCCCCAAACATCCACTTAAAAAGCAGCTTAAATAGGACACAGAAAAGGAGGTCCCGGGAAGCTTGACTGTCTATCCCTGGGAAACTGCCCTGCATGATTTTCACCCCCATTTTGTGTCCAAGGGCAAGGAGTTTATCTATTTTCTCTAATAGAGAAAGAAGTAATCCTGTGTGTAGCCCTTTCATAGGATTCTTTTCTTTGGACGACCACCAGGAGGCAAAATACTCCTAATCCAATCTACATTTGAAATAATCAGATTTATATAGTCAGATCTTATTCTATGGGGTCCTGTACTGGAAACTGAACTTATGCATCCTTGTGGCTTGAAAGACTATTTACCGTAAAGTAGTTTTAGGAATTATCTAGGTACTGATGCTCAACAATGTTGTAGAAAAGGATATACAGGTAGTTCCTGGTTTATAAATGGTAATTGGGAATGGAATTTCCAGCACGATGTGGTCATAGAGTGCAACATGACATGACTTCATTGCTTAGTGACAGTGATCTCAAGCAACTGATGTTGCCATTGTTAACCAAATCCCAACTGGTTTGCTAGGCAAGAACCCTTTCCTCATTCATAAATTAGAAGCTATATTGAAAATAATCCTCTTTGGAAGGATTTCTTTTCCTGCTCAATCGTGTCCAATTCTCAAAGAATGGCTGGACAAGGCCCTCTAGTTTTCTTAGCAAAGTGTTTTGGAAATGTTTTGCCCAGTTAAGGTACCATATCCAATAGCATATTTGGGGAGCTGAGTATCAATGTTTTCATCCCAAATCCAGGCTTCAAAGACTCTGAATAATGTTTTTCAAAATTGCCAACTTTTAAGATGTGGGACTTTATGCTGGCTGGGGAATTCTGGTAATTGAAGTCCACATAGCTACCAAGTTTGAAAAACACTGGAGTGTTTCACAGGAAGTCTTTCTTTTTTTAATTTTTTTAATACATTTTATTGAATAAACATTAAAGAACAATTGAACACAGTGCGACTTTCTTGGCCATCATTTTGGCCATACAAGCTATAGTATAGAAATACACATAATAGCTCATTTCCCTTTTCTCTTATGTTATTAGTATAGTGCTCGCTGCATATTATTTCTATTTACATTTATCTTCAATTATCTACAATTATATACATATTTACAACCATCTTTTATTCTCATGCATTCGTATCATCTCATATTTGTCCATTATATTCCATTCTCTTTGGTTTACAAAACTTTAACTTTAATTCCTCTAAAGCGTCAACCCTTTCTTTCTAGGAAGTGTTCCTTGTGAAACAATCATGGGCAAATGAAAGCCGAAGCTACTTATTAATCTGGCGCTTCCTTTCCTGCAAACAGCTCCTAGTTAATTTTGGGACACGTTCCCCACTCCAGTTTCAGCCGACAGACAGAGAAGGCGAGAGTCGAGACAAGGAAAAAGCCACTTCAAACATGATTGGAGGAGAAGCGGAAACCCAAGCCCCGCCCTCTACGTCATGACGTTAAGGCGTAGTTCTCAAAGCACGTGAAAATGGCCTTCCAGGGCGGCTTTCGCGGATGTTATCTGTGGCCAAGCGGAAAAGGAGGGGGAGCGGAAGTCCCGCCCCACCGGATCCTTTTTTTGGACTGGGGAAGCGTCCTCCGCGGCAGAACTTGCAGCCTCTTGTGTCCTTCTAGGAATCAGGGGCGGGGCCCTCTGAAGGCGACCTGCAGGTGAGCTGGGCCTTGACGGGCGTCGTGCTGGGCCTCCTTCGGGGACGCTTCCCGCGGAAGGGAAGGCATGAGCCCGGCGGCGGCGTTGCAGGAGCAGCAGCTCTGACCCAGGAGCGGCCGCCAGGATTGCTTCCATTGTACCCACCTCCTTCCCTGTACTGTAAGCGTTTCTCTCTCGGCGGGTGAGGCTGAAGGCTTCTGCCCCGGTCCCCAGCAGTCGGGCAGGGATGGCGTTCTGCTGCGATGGCGGCACCCCACGCGCGCCTCTGGCGGTCCCTGCCCCCCCCCCCCAACCGCCCAGGCAGAAACCACGCTTGGCCCATTTGTATTTTGGCGTCCGGTGCCTTGGCAAAAGCGTCGAGGGCGCTGCGGTTTTCTTGGCAAGGTTTCCCCAGAGGTGGTTTGCCTTTGCCTCTTTTCTAGGGCTGGGAGAGAGATTGGCCCAAAAGTCACCCGGCTGCCTTTCTAAGGCGACTAGAGCTCAAAGCTCCTCCTAGTTTCTAACCTGATGGCCTTAACCATTAGATCAAACTGGCATCCATGTCCCACAAACTAGCTGGTCATAGAATAGAATATAGAATAGAATAACAGAGTTGGAAGGGACCTTGGAGGTCTTCTAGTCCAACCCCTGCCTAGGCAGGAAACCCTACACCACTTCAGTCTTGTATATTGTGTGAACCAGCCTCTGGTTAGCTTGTGTTTTAGTATATTGTGTAAACTCAGAGAATGGAGCCGATTAAGTAACCAAGGTGTTAAACAAGTGTGAATATATAGCTTTAAAAAATAAAGTGGCCGAAAATTGCTTTAGAAGGAGTGAAGGCCTCTTCCTTACCTGCTTTGTTATGAAAAAAAGGGGGGGGGGGTTGTGGGAATTCAAATAGGAAACAAAATATAAGAAAACTATAGGTCAGTAGTTCCTAAAATGATCTGGGGGTCCTGGAGGGTCCCCAAGATCCTTTCAGAGCATCTGCAAAGTCAAATATTTTAAACTTTCTCGATTTTAATGTTTAATACAGTAAAGATCAAGAGATGTAACCCACATAAACCAAAACTCTTTGGGGTCATTTCTAAGAATGTAAAAGGGATCCCAAAGCAAAATTTGAGAACCATTCTAGGTAAAGGTGGTATTATGGCATGGGGACATTGCTTGGGAAAGTCTTATATCTTGAGAGAATAGCATTAGCCTACTTCTCTGAATTACCAATATGATAGTAATGGTCACTGGCAGGAACCACTGGAATTTTCTGAAGCTATTGTGGTGCAATTGTTTTTCTAGTCAAAGGAGTTAGAGAAAAACCTCAAAAACTGATAATAGCAAAACACTTTCATATTCTTCACAAGGACGTGGACATATTTATAAAACCACCAGGGGCAGAGTTAACCGCAAGGAATTACGGTTCAGACTATGTTGTACCTGCAAGTGATATTCATTCCAGCACCAATGGTACCAGGCCTTATGGACTGTTACTTTATGTTCCTTATCCATTTTTTCTTTTATTTGAAGATGAGTTAGTCACAGAATAACATTTAATACATCTTTCCTTATTCATTTGCAATCTTGAAATTCTTGCCATTTTATTCATTTGGTAAGAAGTAAATTCACCGAACTCTTTTTATGTTCTTTTGCAAAGTAGTTTTATGTAGAAATGCATGCAAGAAATTTCAGTTTCTTAAGACTGATTATGAATATTTGTTGCTTATATTTTTATCTCTTTGTTATAGAGAAGAATGGAGCTCCTTGAAGAAGACCTTACATGTCCCATTTGTTGTGGCTTGTTTGATGATCCACGAGCATTACCTTGTTCACATAACTTCTGTAGAAAATGTTTGGAAGGGATCTTAGAGGGAAATACTCGGAATGTTATTTGGAGACCATCACCTTTTAAATGTCCGACATGTCGAAAGGAAACTACAGTAACAGGGGTTAATAATCTCCAGGTTAACTATTCACTAAAAGGCATTGTCGAAAAATATAACAAGATTAAAATATCAACAAAAATGCCTGTCTGTAAAGTGCACAGTGGTCAGCCTCTTAATATTTTTTGCCAGACAGACACACAACTTATATGTGGCATTTGTGCCACTCGAGGAGATCACATAAAACATCTCTTTTGCTCTATTGAGGATGCTTACTGTCAAGAAAAGCGTGCTTTTGAGACACTGTCCCAAGTGTTTGAAGCATGGCATTGTGGAGATGCACTTTCTCGACTAGCAACTTTGGAAACCAGCAAACGAAAAGCTCTCCAGATGTTGACAAAGGATTATGACAGAGTAAAAGATTTTTTTGAGAAATTACAATATACTTTGGAACAAAAGAAGAATGAGATCCTCTCAGACTTTGAAACCATGAAGCTTGCAGTTATGCAGGCTTATGATCCAGAAATCAACAAGCTGAACACTATCATACAAGAACAGCAAACTGTGTTTAATATTGCAGAAACATTTAAGGATGTATCTGAACCCATTTTGTTTTTACAACAGATGCAAGAGTTTAGAGAGAAAATCAAAGTGATAAAGGAAACTAGATTGCCTTGTGTTACTGTAGACATCAAATCTACAATTAAGGATGTTGATACTAGTCAGTGGGAACAATTTAAGCTAGCAGATGTGGATAAACTTTCACTACCTCAAGAGAAAAGCTCTTTCAATTGGATGACAAATACCTTCCTTTCAGCACGTTTTTTAGTAACTGCTTTAATTTGTTTACTGATTGTTATTACTCAAGTATGTGTTACAGATTTTTGGGGCAAAACTTTTCAGTATTGGAAAACTTTTGTTTCTGCGTTTGGCACAGGTTATCTGACAGACCCAACAGAGATGGCAGATCATGCTATTTTATACTGGGAAAAAGTAGCAGATAGTGCTGCTATTTTAAGTGAAAAATGTGTAAATTATATCCATGTGTTGTTGAATAATGTTGCCCAATTTGTGTGCATGTACAAACTTTTATGAATCTTCATGTTCAGGAAGTATATTTTCAAAATCAGTGAGTTCTTTTTTTAAATGTAAACATTTTTTATATTTGAAATGGTCTTGATTATTCATATATTGAACTATTCTGCAACTCATGTTAAAAGATGACTATCTTTGTATTGTTTTCTGAAAGTAAAATTACATGACTTGATTTTGTTTAGAAAGTAATGTGTATAGTGGAACATGTAAACCTTTTTTATTTATAAAAATATGTTTGAGTTTCAGATTGGAGTATAAGTTGGAAATATGTTTGCATGGATATAATACATAAATAATGATTGTATATTATTACAACAAATCTTGGTCCTTCAGAAATATTGCAAATTTTGTAATTGGTTATTAATATATGTGAACATAGGAAGTAACAAATTAAAACTTTTGTATGTTTATAAGCAACAATACAAAATGAAACTGGAACATCTTGGGCTTGCAAATCACTTTTTTTTTTTACAACTAACAGTTACAGTAACACAAGTTATGTAGACTTGTCAGTAGCCAAATCTATGGAATGTTATACAAGTTCATGCTGTTAGGGAGGTATGTGAGTGTCTTTCAGTAGAAATTCTTGTAATCAGATGTGGGTCCTGCACAAATGAGGATAGAAAGTTCATTTTCGGCATTATTTACATGATGGATGCATTAAGGTTACAGTGGTCAGGCTTACCAGGGAGACTAGGCAGGACGCATAGCCAGGTATGTTAATTCTACTTCATGGTAAAACTTCATTGTAAAGCTACATTAGGAGAGTCTTGCAAGTCTAAAAGTACAGTCCTCTCACCATCCCTTTTACAGCCTCGTAACTTGGGGAGGTGTTCTTCCTGAGCCTCTTGTTCCATTTACTATGCCCTGTGGGATGTGCTCACTCTCATTTGATCTTTGCTAGGAAGCATTACTTTGCCCCGTTTCCCAAAGTAATTATCCATACCATTACAACAGTAGGGGTCTTTGTGTACAACTTTTAATCAGGACCAGCAACTCTGCCACTAAGTGAAGTGGTCATTAAATGAGAAATCACGTGGCTACAACTGTTCTTTCCAGCTAGAAAGAGAAGACTACAGGTAGTCCACTCATTCAGTAATGATTATGACTGGTCCTCAAAGTTCTGGCCGTCCAAAAATCTTCACAATCATGTAGCCACAATCTGGCTCACCAGATGGTTGCAGCGTCTCATGTTTGCATTTTGCAACCTTACCTCCCAGCTTCCCACAATGGAGAAGCCAGCAGGGGAAGTCACAAGTTGCTCAGTTAAGTCTGCTCACTATCACACCTCCCCCAGTTCTGCATTCAGCTCTGCCACCTGCAAACCCTTCCCAACCCTTGATAGCTCACATAGCTGCATCTCCCCAGCCGCTGCCCCCACCCCCTTTTACCCTGCAGGCAGGAGCCACTTACCCTTCCTGGCAACTTGGTTGCAGAGTGCCTGAGACTTGCAACTTCTTGCTGGCTTCCCTGCTGACTTTGTATGTTGAAAGCTGGCAGGAAGTTACACTTCCTTGATGCTTAATGATTCTTCATTTAACAGCAGCAATAGGGGCTGCAGGGATTGCCATCACTAAGCATCCCAATGCTTTACAAATGAACTTAGCAATGGAATTCAATTGCTGTCATAACTCTAGGACTACCTATAGTTGGCTCTCATTTGCTTTCAAGGTCTTAGTGTCTTCTGCAGATGGATCATAGTAGCAGCCCCAGAGTGGGAGTCATAGACAAACTATAGAAATGGCTTGCAGTTCTCCTTTGAAAATTCTTCTGGTTTCTCCACTGAGGGGAGGAGGGAATTGTTTTTTTCAGCATTGTCATAACTTTGAATAGCCGCTGACTTGAATAGTCCATAAGTATGATCTGTATACAATGTGTACAAAAGCAATGATCATGCTTCAACGTAAGGCTTGAGAGGTAGGCAGCTAGAGATCACCCATCGTCATGGAAAAAGCAAAGCTTAATGCATTTCAACAGGATTATGATTTATCAGAAGAAAAAAATTCCTAAAATCTGTGCTGCGCTGAATCCAGGGGGTGTTATTAAGGACAAGGGACCAACTAGGTCTGACAAATTTAGGAAGAGTAGGGAAAGAAAATCTAAAGCATTCTCCCCAAGTTCAGTAGGCAGTAAAATATTAGCTTTGCATATTTTAACGTATTTTTCATTTATAATGATGAGTGCTATTTCAGATAGGTGGCTGTCCAGTCTTTTCTTAAAAACTGCCAGTGACCCACAACTTCTGAAGGCAAGCTGTTCTACTGGTTAATTGTCCTCACGGTTAGTAAGGACTAACTCCTTAATTCCAGGTTTCTTCTCTCCTTGATTAATTTCTATCCATTGTTTCTTGTCCTGCCCTCTGATGTTTTGGAAAATAAGATCCCCCTCTTCTTTGTGGCAGCCTCTCAAATACTGGAATACTGCTGTCATGTCCCCCCTAGTCCTTATCTCTAGACTAGCCAAACCCAATTCCTGAAACTGTTCTTCATATGTTTTTGTCTCCATGCCTTTAATCATCTTAGTTGCTCTTCTTTGCACTTTTCCAAAGTCTCAACTTTTTTGCAATGTGGTAACCAAAACTGGATGCAGTATTCCAGGTGTGATCTTACTAAGGCTTTATAAAGTGGTATTAGTAATGGTACTGCGTGTGATTTTGTTTCTGTTCCTCTGTTTATACAACCAAGCTTTTTTGGCTGCTGCACACTGCTGGCTCATGTTTAAGTGATTGTCCATCAGGGCTTCAAGGTCCCTCTCACAGTTACTGTTTTTTAGCCAGGTTTCACCTAATCTGTACTTGTACCTTTGGTTTTTCCTGGCAAAGTGTAAAACCTTGCTTTTTTCCACATTAAAGTTTATTTTGTTGGATAGTGCCCATTGTTCAAGTCTGTCAAGATCTTTTTGGATCCTGATCTTGTCTTCTGAGGTATTGGCTATTCCTGCCAGCTTAGTGTCATCTGCAAATTTGATGAGTTCCCCTTCTATCCCCTCATCAAAGTTATTTATGAAGATATTTAAGAGTATTGGGCCTAAGACAGAATCTTGTGGTACCCCATTGCTTATTTCCCTCCATGTAGATGTATTACTATTAAGGAAAGGACTACTTGTCGAGTAGTTTGTCAGCCAGTTACAAATTCATCTGGAGTGATGCTGTCTATCCCACATTTTCCTAGCTTGTCAAGTAGGTCATGACTGGAAAAAATGAGTTAACCAGTTCTTTCTCTCTGCCTCCTGTTACTTCCTTGCCATCTTCTCTCTTTAGTGGACTTACTGTTTCCTTGACTTTTTTCTTGTTATTTATATGTTGAAAGAAACTTTTTAAAAAATTATCTTTGATTTTTGTTGCAAGTCTTTGTTTATTCTGAAAACTCACTTTTCTGGCTTCATCTTTGCAGATTTTGGCTATCTGCTGATATTCTGCCTTAGTTATATGTCCCTTTTTCCATTTTTTTGTACTTGTCCTTTTTGTCTTTCAGTTTATCAGAGATCTTTGTGCAACCATGCTGGTTTCTTTTTGGATTTCCTGCTTTTCTTTTCCAGTGGATTACATTTTTCAGTTTCCTACACTTCTTGAATTGTTTTCCCTTTGAGGATTTTCATTCATGGAATCTTTCTTAGGCTGCCTCTGGGTTTGTTAAAATGAGCTCTTTTAAAGTTTAAGACTCTGGTCGGATTATATTCTATTGCTTGTGTTTGAATTATATTGAATTCCAATATGACGTGGTCACTCTTGGTCAAAGCTCCTGCAATTTCAACTCCCTCTATCACTTCTTCTTTATTAGTAAGAAATATAGTTTTCTCTGTAGTTATCTCCATTACCTTTTAGATGACAAAGTTGTCAGCTAGGTTGGTTAGGAATCTGTTTGATCTCCCATTTGCTGCAGAGTTTGTCTCCCATGTTTCCTACATATACTTGTTAATTGTTCAGCAAAGAGTTCATCTATTTCTTCTGTTTGGTTAGGTTATCTGTAGTATATGCCTATAGCAATGTCATTGGTTTTTCCTTTTATTGTTTATTGGAATGATGATAAATAAATCAATAAAAGGGACAATCTAGAACACTAGTTTCAGGTGAAATAATTACCAAAGTACTAAATTAAAATAAACTATAGTAGCACCATTATTTCTATAATGTTTGCTGCAACTGAATTTTTAGGATCTTGTACAATTATGATTGGTATATTTTAAAAAACATGAAGTTGAAAAAGACCCTGAAATGAACAGCTCAGAGATGAGAGCTGATGAAATTCCATTAGAAATTGTTCAATTGGGAATTTTCTATGAGAAAAAAATTACATGATTTTTTTTAATTGGTTTTTAAGACAAACGTAGACAAACAAAACATAAAAACATCAAGCCATCTTCCATATATATACATACAGTGTGTCGGTTGGTTTACAAATTGTTTTGTGCTTCCATTTCGTAGTCTTCAATTACAATTACATTGTATATATTCTCATATTTTCAATTAAATACATTAATGTCATTGTTAATCATTTGACTATACTTTTATTCATTCATGTTTTACAAAATAATTCATATTTTACTTAATTTGTTTTATGACAGTTCATATTATCATCTCAAATCTATCCAATCATTTTGTAGGTATAAGAAAAAAAATACATCTTTATATATTTATTATTTTCTAAGAATCTACATATTTCATTACCATGTTTTATTGTCTAACCATTGATAGAATAGATCCCAAATTTTATAAAATTGTTTATCATCTTGTTCTCTGATTTCAAATGTCAATCTACTCATTTCAGCACCTTCCAATATTTTCTTAATGATTTCCTCCTGTGATGGTATTTTCTCATTTTTCCAGTTTTTGGCAAATACAATCCTAGCTGCTGTTAATACATTTACAATCAGGTATTTCAATTCTTTACTATATATTTCAAGTAAAATTCCCAACAAAAATATCTCTGGTTTCAAGTCTATATGCTTTTTTGTCATTTTTTCCAACCACGTGTGGATTTTAGTCCAATATTTTTTAGCATCCGCACAAATCCACCACATATGGTAATTACATGATAAAAGTTACATGGTAAAATTTATAAAATTCCATATTAATGAAAGATTGTATATATTAGAAATTAATTCTTTAATAAAACTGACTGCTAAATATAGTGACTGGAAGTTGAAAAAAATCCCACAAGAAAAATAAAAACAAACTTTGTACATTGTGTTTTTAACAAGAATACATGTCCATGTCAATTCCAATTTGAAGGCAACTTTATTATAGTACTCTGCAGCAAAAGCAAAAGGCCGAAGTCAGACATCCGCAGCATCTGTCTTAAGCTCCTTAAACTCAATGTTTTTTTTTGCCCTGCAAGATCACAATTCACCTATGGAAGGCAACCATGCAAACTTA